AGAAACAGGGCACTTACTGAGAGCTGAGGACACTCAACAACCTGTTAGAGTGCTGAGTAACATGCAGGACCCAAATAATGGTTTATTTATTGTTGTCCATTAATAATGGAGTACCATGATTGAATACTGGTTTTTCTCTGGTAAAAGGGAAGTTTGCTTAAAGGAGAGAGCATTTAAAACTGAAGAATAAAATAAAAATCAGGTAGAGAAAAGGCAGGCTACTCTTTTCTGCATGTTTTGGTTGTCTCGGGGAAGGAAATGTAAAACTTTGAGTTGCTTTTGGAAATATGAAATAGAATTCATTATTTCCAACCCTGAGCATGTCTTATTTATTGCATTAGGCATTTCATTATATGCTAGTTTCCAGAAACCCCTGTCATATTTCTAGAACACAAGAATTACAGGTCAGTCTTTCACACAAACACTAAGTTTACATTAGTGTATATTGTCTTTTGTGGATGGTGCTAAATATTTTTGTTTCCAACCATATGAAACCATTGCATAGAGCGTCTCTAAATTAAATTGCACAAAAATAGCTCAGACAATCCATCTTTTTGTTAATGTTACATCTCTTTGGAGCTCACATTCATTGGAGCTCATTTCCACTGTTTCACAAGCAAGTCTAGGACTTACCATGTACATGACTCACCACAGGCTAATTGAGGTCATTCCAAAATAAAGCAATAATAATAGTAATCCCTGTTCTGTCTGTATCTGCTCCGTGCAATACTGAAAACAAGTCATGAATTCAAAGAGTTTGTAGGTAGGGAAGGGAAATCCTGTTTCTTGTTAAAGCAAAACAGTCATATTATAAATAGGAGGAATCAAGTAAAATTAATACATGAAAGTCCAGATTTATTGAATCTTAATATCCAAACTTCCACATTTACTGAATTTCTAGCATGTCGCTGATGCAACAGAGCTGAAGTTAAGCTCCTGCAGAGCTCCATTTTGCCTAACTCTCCTGATACATTGAATTCCCAATTATCATACGTGGTTTGCAAAATTCGGATTCAATTGCAACTCTTATAAAGGCAATTCCTTCTCATCTAAGTTGAAGCAAAGGATGAGACCACAGCCAAGCTGTTTTCTATTTCATCATTTCTGGGTACTTCATTAGGGGTAGATTTTGATTAGCCCAAATATGACCTCAGAGAGGAGTAACGGCCTCCTAATCATAGCACAACCGCATTAGGGCTGTTCACACTGTGGCTCCCAGTACCCTAAGAAGTGCAGCCTTTGCACTCCCACTGCTCCGCACTGTGATCAAGCGGGGGCAAAACAGGGGTAGGCAGAACCTTGGCTCCACTCCGCAATCTGCCAGTAGATCTACATGAACACACAGAGAGGAAGTAATCTACAATCTTTCCCGGGCTGCAGTAATCTGCTTTCCTCAAGAGCAAGAGACAGAAGGGTGGAATTGTGACGCTTATGCCATACTTTTTCCTGCTGTTCAGATGGGGGCATAGCTTCTACAGATAATTCTCACTCAGAACTAAGCCTAGCTCTTAATTTCTTAGAGAAAAATAAAAGGATATTTGTATCACAAATGCAGTAATGAGGAGCCCTGTCTTCATAGGGTTTACGGGTTGCTGTCACCCAACGACTGAATTTGTTATACAAACGAAGTTTGCATTTTATCCATGATGGATGATTTCTGGCGACATGAGACTTAAAGAATTACCATTTCACTTGTTTAAAAGGTGGGAAATTGTAGCGAAGTGGGTGTGCAGATTGAAGTCTATGAAAGACACAATTCTTTCCCATCTGCATGGTGTCTGCAGGCATTCTCTTACCCATATTTCTGGAATCCTAGGAGTCTATCATGCATATACAGTAATAAAGATTCCTGTTATAAGGGGTCTTCTCCGCAGCTTATGACCTTTAAAAAAAGAGACAGAGCAACCACAGATTTCATGAACCACTCTTGTCAAATTTCAGTGCTGTGGTTATCACGCAGGAATTAATCAATGAGGCAGTACCAAAGTAAATGAAAATCACAATGCAGTAAACCAAAAGTCTCTGTTGTTTAAGACAGATAGACAGAAAGACATCTCTATGACTTTTGTTGGTATGCAGATTTTTAGAGAAAAGACAATCAGATAGATAATGTAGTTCCTATATGTTTTCTTTTCCTTTAATTTATGAAGAGATTTGATTGAAATACATAGATGCATAAACACAGGTAATCTCTACAATGGATTTTTTTTCCAGGACCATTCATTCTGGTGAACTGGGATTTGTCTGAGTTATATTACAGTATATTATCCATATCATCCATACTGATATGTATTTTCTTTTTCTTGCGTTTGATGGCATAATACAGATTAAAAGAAAAAAAATCATGGGGTGAGAATCTTAGCAGTAACAACAACAACAACAAGTACAAATTACATTTCTGTAATAGTCATCTGCTATGGGTGTATCCACACAGAAAAAACTAAAAAAGTACTAAAACACAAGGGGGGAGGGGCGGGAGGAGAGAGATGAAATGATTTAAGCTGCAACTGAATTGAAACTCTGGATCCAAATACTATCCTCCTCCCAAATTTGGAGCCATCCAACATCTAGATCTGTTATATGTAGCAGGAACACTTCCCTCAAAATAATTAAAATGAATTCATAGTGTTTTCCTGAACACTTTTGAGATTTAAAATAAAATCTTAAACTCTCCTTTTTAAGTTGTTGGCACTTATTAGGTATTTAATTCTTTTTGTTTTAACTCTATCTTTGTTTTGTTACTGAACATACATTTTCTATGAGCTCATTTATACAGTTTCTCTCTTTTGTTTCTCCACCCAATATTCTTTCAGAATTCTCTGCAGTGGGCCTAACATCTTCCATTCCAAATTGCTCTCCATCCAATATGTTAACAGAAGCCAAATGTCTTCTCAAGGGCTATAGTCAGATTACACAATGGCACAGAAGACAGAAGGGAAGAGGAACAATTTGGTTTTGAAACATTTCCCCCTCCTATTTGCTTTCTGAATGTATCCGGGTGCTATATGCATATTCTGAATGGACCTTTTGCCCTTTTAAACATGGGCCTTTTGGAACCAAGAATAAAATCTGTAGCATCACAAAGCTTATATTTACTGAGGTAGAGAAACAAGTTAAAATACAAAGTTCTATTTTTGCAAACCCCTTAAATTCCTCATAGATATTGTTTTAGATTGTCATACTTGTATACCAAGCTAGCAAGGTAAAAACACCTTCTCTCATCTCTCTTCCATCTAAATACAGACAACAGGAGGTTGTTAAGATTTATAGAGGTAAATATGGCAGATTCTTCCATTTCCTCAGACTGGGATACATTTTTTTAAAAATATTCAGAATCATCTTAATCCTTGAGTAATTTGACTTGTAAGAAACAAAGGAAAACATTACAAAGAGAACTTTTCAACCATTCATAATTCCTTACAAGGGGGCACCCCTAGGCTTAGGTGTGTGGATTGCATCCTCTCTGTTTAACATACACATGTGCAGTTAAAAAGAGGGGTGCATCTCCACAACTGTGCACTTATTTTCTTGCTATTCTTTATGCTTGAATTAGGTTTTGTGCTTTTATGTCCCTCAACTGTATTGCATATGACCACTGAAGCCTTTTTGAGAAATCATAGCTTTAAGTTTTAATGCTGCTTCTGATGTTAAGAAAATATTCTTTCATATTTTAAATCACTGAACAACAGATTGAGGGAGAGGGTCTGGGGAAAAATTTCCATTATTCTGAGTAGCTGGAGATTTTTTGTTGTTTGTTTATTTGCTAAACACCTTAACAATATCAACCATATCAAGTACAACAGTTGAATCAAGTGAAAGAACTTCCTCCATTCCACACTAAGAACATATATACATAAAGCTGAGTTGCTAGTAATATATACATAGTAAGACCACACCTAGAAATATCACTGTGACTTACCTTATATGGTCACAAATGCTGAAGATATGTAAACTCTAGCAAAAATTATGTATCCATAGACTATATTCTTCATCGTTTGCATTCAAATTGATTTTCTAGGCCTGATCAAGGAGACTACTGGCATGAGTAAAGGTTTGCCTTAATTTTACATTGAAAAATGGAATATGGCCCTTGCATTAGGAGCATAACATAGTAACAGAAGGAAGAAAAAGGAACATTTCGGGTAGCTTAGTAATATCATAGCTCAAAGGAGCTCATTTAATTGAATCTAACATTTAAAATGATGCCAACATATTGGGCAGGCTGCTTTTGCCTATGCTAGTGAGCAGCAAAAGTAACTTCACTCAACATATTAACTCAGGTGTATGGAGGAATCATTCTGTGATATCCACAAAGAAAAATTATATCACTCCTTGACATTATAGACCTTTTTTTTGCTGCAACCAACTCCACCAAAGTGAACATATTCTGTATTAGTATAAAATAATAAAAATCTCCACTTCTGCCAAAACAAAACAAAAAAACCCCAACAGCTAAACACCCCTTATGTCCTTAACACACTGTTAGAACTCTGAGGAGTGATACTTTTTGCTGACTTCTCCTCTTCTTTATATGTGAAATGGAGGAGATTTTGTATGAAAACACATACAACTCAGAACTGGTGAAGTCACTGAGCCAAGAGCAGTAAAATGATGTTATGGTGACATTTTAGATTTATGAGAATATAGCCCCTCCCCTTCTCCCCCCCCCCAAAGTAATTTTTGTTGAAGGTGAAGGCAGCTGTTTATAGTAAGGGAAGAATCAGCATAGTTCAGTTAACAAAAACTTCACAAAATATCAAAAGGGGTTCAAAATTAAATCAATGCAAGTAATACAATTAAAATGGGAGCTATGCACCCACAAGTATATTCTCTTTTACAACACAAAATTGGTCCAAATATTCTTAAAAGAAGTTGCGATAGATCAATGGATGCACTCAACAATAAAACATTTCTATCAAATTAGCTAGTTAAATGGAAACTCCACCTAATTATTCCAATGCACATTTAGTAATTTTCTGTTTAAGAAATGAGTCACTTACCTAAAACCCCCAGCCTGTAGTTGAGGGTTACAACGATGACATTTCCATAGCTTGCTAGAATGCTCCCATCAATCATGTTGCCAGTACCCTCCATGTAAGATCCCCCGTGGATGTAGACCATAACGGGTTTCTTGTTGTTCTGATCATGAATGTCTGGAAAAAAATGCAAGTAAGGAAGACACAATAAAGTAATAAAAATATTGAAACAAAATAGGTAGTTGCTTTTTCACAAAAGTGCTATTAAAATAATTTCTTTTCCCCATATTTTCAATTTTATCTACAGCTCTTCAGTCAACTAGCTTTCCTCTGTGCTTGTACTTAGGTCACTTCAGAGTGATCTATGTCAAACTCAGTGGGTTTAGAGGCTGAGAAATTGTTTTTGGTACTTGTTTGTTACTTCCAAGTATAGTTTCATAAGGAATGTTCTCAGAACACTGGAAAAGTACTATAGTGTGTAAGAAATTTAACTGTAAGATAAATGAGAAGCCTCAATAGAAAATTAAATTGCACAGTAACTGGTGTCACTATTAGAATATTCTCAACACAAAATTCTAACTAATCAAGATAAACCAATACATTAAATCATAAAATGATACCATTGATCCAGTCTTCCCATTCCCCCAGCAACTGAGAGACATCTTTGTGGAAAGTATAAAGCTGCATTTCTTACTGCAATAACAGGCAACATCTTAACATTAAATTATCCAGATAAAAAAACCTAAACATGGCAAATCATCTCCTGTTTGAACCTGTCTAGGAGTTAACAAATAGGAGTAGCCCAGTACTCAACATCAAGATTTTGTTCCCAAACAAAATGAAGCTTTTAGTGTCATGTTGTGCCTAATCAAAGTGACAAGGTAGATGATCTTGCTGGTAAAGAACTAGATTAAAACCCAGGAGTTCTCTGTTCTAGTCTATATCTAAACAAAAGAACATAACACAATGATGAATATTGTACTCTGCTCAGTGAAGTACTGGAAAGCATATTTGATGACTATTGCACAGGCTCAGATTAGCCCTTGAAATATAACAGATACTAAAATGGTTTCTATGACAATGGAACCTCAAGAACAGCACTAAAAAGCATGAAACCTTGTAAAATAATTTGTTTTATTTAATCTTCTCTTATTATCAAGTGTTACCTAAAGGCTTGATCTTACAACATCAAAGTCAAAGGGAGTTTTACTATTTGACATCAATGGGAGCAGGACTGGACAAAAATGAAGGCACTCAATCCATCACACTTTACTAGCAACCTGTTTATATCTAAAGTGATAATATATTTTTAAAATAATTAATGAACTATTTATTCCCTCTGTTGTGGACTTTAGGATATTACTTAGCCTTAGAATAGGCATTCTCATTAATAAAACAATTATTGATCATAATATAGTATATGTCTACCTTTCAAATTGTTTTTGTTTCTTCTAACTGGTTATGCAATCTGGTGTCACAAGTCATGGTACTGTCAGTTAGAAATTCATTTCTTGTATCAGTTATAAAAGAGAGGGTGTTATTTGGGCAAGAGTGAGGCTTCTTTTAGAGTGTTGTGTACAGTTCTGGTCCACTTACTGGAAAGAAAGTATATTACAGCAATGAAGAAGGTACAATGGAGGGCAACTGATATGATACAAGGGCCAGAGATTTGAGTTACTGTCCTTTAAAAGGTTAGAGTAAATACAGCAGGACTGAACTCTCAAGAAAAGAGGAGATTAAGAGTGACTTCACTGTGATGTACACAACTCTGAAGGAAAGAGAAAATAATTGTAACCCAACTATTTGAGCTGGTGTCAGATATAAGAACACAGGAGCAAGATATGAAATAACACTTAGAAAAGGCCAGGTATAAGGAATTTGGGCTAAATTTCTGTACTCTATTACATCTACCAACTATTCTCAAACTACCAAGGGCTGTAATGTGAGCCCTAATTCAGGGGTAATTAATGTAACTAATTCAGACATTTTTTAAAAAATCTGACGAGTATTTAAATGAAAATGGATAGTCAGTATAACTTAAGTAAGAAGCAAGGATGAGTACAGAGAGAAATTTCATGACTTTTTTCCATGTTTAAAAGATCCTAAAAAGCTTCACTGCCAAAGAAGGAAACAAAACTATCTCATTGTAACACTTTTTATGATACTTCCTGTTAACTTTAGCATTTCCTTTCAATGGATCCAATCCAACTTTCCCAGAGGTCGTTGAAAAGATCATCACTGATTTCAATGGGATTTGGGTCAGGCTCAGATAAAATATAGCCTAAAAAACTGGCTAATTATAGGAGAAAATAGTGAAGCATCATCAATAGGCTTCCTTTATTTTTGTACCCTAGAAATAAAACATGTACCAAGAAGAAAATTAAATAAAAACACCACAGACGAGTTTCAAAGCAATTGCATCCACCATATAGTTTGTGCATCTGGGGAGGGAAAGAAGAATGGTAAAAATAACATGTGCTGTTTCATGAGTTTCATAAAGTAAGGTGAACTTACACAATGTATTAGAGGTAGAAAGGAGGAAGAACACATGCAAGTTTTTAAATTCCATTTTCTTTTCCTATGCAACAGTGAGGGGTGGAGGGAAACATTTGGTTGTAAATAATATTTATGCATGTTACTCACTTCACACATATTTAGGGATAACCTTTATACTTATCTCACAAGGGAGCTACAGTCATCTATATGCTAATTTGGGTTTTAAAAATAAAAAAATAAAAATGGTTTCCAAAACAAGAAGAAAATAAATAAGCACATTGAAGTGCACTTTTGTCAAATAAGGGGGAAAAATCATGTTGAAATAATAATAATAAAAAGAAGAAGTTTATGTTCATGCATCAGGGTCGAGCTTGGGAAAAAAAATACCTTCATCTTCACCGCGATCATTATTGGTTATATCATCTGGGCTTTTCTTTGTGTTGGCTCCTGGGGTCATAGTGAGAAGAATAAAGGGAAAAAAGAGAATTCAAAAACAGCAGATTCTTCAAAATTAAAAAAAAACAAAATATAACCACTAGCCCCGAAAAATAAAAAAAATAGAAAAATGTAACACAAAAAGTCAAAATCTGTTACATTTGAAAAATTAAAAAAAAGATGCAAACTGCATACAAACATAAGATGTCAAGAAGAACAAATTCAAAATATTATTTCAAAAATATATGTATATCTCTAGTAAATCCTCTGACAATGAAGCTATTTTGGTTAAAAGTCATTGCTGCAAAAACAAAATTAATGTGCAATTAAAAAGTAATATAAATAAAAAATAGTAAATCCACCAAATTATCAGTTTTTCATAAGAAATGTATTTTTATTTCTTTCTGTAATCTTGCAGGAATTATCACCTTTTAGTCACTATCTGAATTAACTTAATATTTGAATCATCCTGATGATGATTTATTAAATACTTTAATGAAAATAAAATTATGTATGAGTTTTATGTAACACTTGGTCTGGATCGAGACAATCCAGAATGCCCTTTTTTCTTTAAATCCAATTTCCTATGTAAGCAAAAAGACATTAAAAACACCAAATTTGAAAAACTGAAGAAATAAATTGTGAAAGACTCACTCCAAGCTATGGAATCAGCCCGCAAGTAGCCCTGACTCACATAAAAGTGCACTGAATGGCCTTTACATAGTCAGAAATGAACTGAAAGTAGTTACTTACCATGACAATAAAACCATAATAATTTATCACAGACTTATTTAAGAATAGTAAACACTCACGTGTATTGAGAACATTATATATTTGTCTTGTGCTCAGGAGAAAAATATGAAATAGTACAGATAGTTATAAGGCCATCTCTCCACATCCTCAATTCTGAAAATGAGTCTAGATCTTGTCTTTAAAATGTCATATAACTATTCTGGTGCTGGGCATCTGATCATGTATTGCTAACTGTGCAGCAAACAGTTCACTGAAATGTGAACAGTTATCTGCTAGTGACTAAAATAAGAATGGAAAATTCATTTCCTTTCTAAGCAGAGTTAGAATTGAAATGTGGCTTCTAAAGATAAGTGACTGATGGGCTAAATAACCATGCTAACCTGTATCTCTCTTTATTGGGGAGTATATTTTCTGTTCAGACTGAAGTGGAGCTATATACTTTGTTAATATGGGCAGAACATATATTTCACAATGAAACATATGATAGGATCTGCTATAATAATATATTTTCTTTTACAATTTATGATGACTACATATTTGGCTCAATCCTCCTATTGTATTCAGTAGCAAAAGTCTCACTGACTTGACTGAGTTCAGGATAAGGGCCTATTCTGTGTAAATGTCACTTGGTTTAGTTTCCATATTGACATTAAATTACTTAAATATTTTAATGTACTCACAGTTTTGTGTTCAAAAAGATTTAAATGAATGGAGTTGAACAGAAAATTCAGTCTATTGTGTTTTGAATTTTTAACAAGTCCCAATTTTCGATAGAAAACAGGCACATAATTTTTCTTCTACTTTTCTATTTAAAAATAAATTACAAAAAACACCACAAATTAAAGGTAAAATATTCCAAGACAATACAATGGTCACTGCAAATAAGAATGGAATGTACTTAAAAATTGTTAGTGCAACAAGTGGTGTTGAAATGTGTCCTGTACATCATTTTGCTTTATGCCACCATCTTGACAAGAAAGCAGTGCAGATTTTATTTGTGAACATTCAAGGAGAGCTACTCACATAAGATCCCTCTACCTGGAATTTAAAGCCAGATGAATTCAAATTAGGAATAAGACACTTAAAAAAAAAAAGCAGTGAGGGAGATTAACCATTGGAACAAACTACCAAAGGCAGTAGTGGATTCTCCATCTCTTGATGTCTTCAGATCAAGACTGGAAGCCTTTCTGGACGATACGGTTTAGTCAAATACAAGTTATTGGGCTCAAAACAGGAGTAACTGGGTGAAAGTTCTGTGTTACACAGGAGGTCAGACTAAACGATCTAATGGTCTATTCTGGCCTTAAAATCTGTGAATTTATTAGGTGGATCTCAGATGCAGAGCAGAAATTCCAGATACCAAACAGGGATTTGTACCACCTGTTCTCCAAAAATAGTTTGGGTGAGCTTTTGGAAATGTGATTCAGCCAAAAGAGAGGAGTGTTGCTTTAACAAATCCCTTTCCAAATGCTACCCAAGGAAAAAGAAATTGT